TGATAATTATTTAGATAATTATGAGCAAAGACGTAGATGATCATATCCTACACTTAGTAATAGACTATGTCTAGCCAAAAGCAATAATAAAATGCAGCAGGGAAATGAAGGGGGGCAATGTTTGATATAGTTATGTTTATAATCAAAATAAAGGTATATAACAGAAGTAGTTTATTTCTCTTCGACTGTTTCCATGACATATAAGTCGCTTGTTGTAGATGCTGGTCTAATGCCTATCAAGCAGGACTCACGAACTTCCTAGGACATTATTAGGGAATGTATTCTTAAGAGTAGAAGTGATAATCTTTTGCTTGTAGTGTGATGTTTCTTAGCCCTCCAATAGGTGATAATATCATCAAAAGAAGGCCAAGTATGATGTAAATATGGAGAAAACAAGAGTTGAAGGTGGTGGTCGTGGTGCATTGGAGATGTAAGCGAATTTGTTTGTGGTGACCATTTGTGACCACATATGTGTTTATTGTGATTGATTGTGACCAATTCTGTGTTAATTGTGACTGATTGTGACTTGATCACATACCATCACAATTAACATTGAACTGATCACAGACAGTTATACTGAATACAAATTTGGTCACAATTAGTCATGGATGACACGTGACTTGATATTTTTAATTTTTGAAATTTTTTTGCAAAGTAGGGGTGGGGTACGTGAATCCATGGATTGAGGGTATGATTTCCAATTTTTAATTTCTGAAAATTTTTTGGAAGGTGGGATGGGATAGGGATAATAAATTATATATTATATATATTTAATTAGAATTAACACCTGAATTTTGAAATAATTTAACATGTTTATTAATTTTGAAATGTAATTTTAATATGTAGGATTTATGTATTGTTCCCATATTTTTTTAACAAAATTTTGAGTAATCTCAAGGAGGAAATATGTTATATTTATGGGAGGCTCGCTCTTAATTTTATCGTTAATAAAGGCGTAAAGTGGGTTGGACAGTCTTAAAATCTTCTATAGGAAATAAAAATATTTTTAATAACAATAAGCTCCTATTGTTATTAAGCCAAAAATAGTGCACATTCTTTAAAAATCTATTTTTGCCCAAACTCGTTTTTAATCATTCATTTTACAACAAAATATTTTTGTATACGAATTTATAAATTTTTTTATTTTTAATTTAAATCCTGTATTCTTTAAAAACATTATTTTTCAAAAATAAATTCTCGAAAAATTTACACTAAATAGACCCTAAATTGGAGCAGGTAATTTTTTATTATTATTATGGTGAATAAGAATTAAGAATAATACTTTAGGAATGACCATTGACTATTATTTAATTTTTTTTTATTCTTCTTTGTTTATTTATTAAATGTCTAACAAACATTTTGTTATAGATATATATATAAAATTAACACTTGCTATTAATCTAGTGATCATGTATATTTTTCAAACTGATCTATAATAATTATTAGAATTCATTGTTGTGAAAAGAAAGAAAATGAGAAGAGAGTATAAAAGTCAATAGACTTGTGTGTGTTATAGTGAGAACCAAAACCCTATATTTATAGGGAAGGATTAGGGATATGGTAATAATTTCTAGAGTTGTAGGGGTACAATTATCATTCACCAATAACTTATTATTTACAGTACTCCCCATTGAATGACACATTACAAAATATCTATCTTCTTGATACATTACTTGGCAAAAACCTGATGAGACAAAAATGCCAACAACAAAGAGTACAAATATGAAGAGTAATAAGCTATTGCCTTGTTCAAACCTTGTCAAGAAAATTTAGTGGGACAAAACTTGATCGAAGGAAAAAGAGTACAGCTACTCCCATTGATTTCAATTCTTGTGTCAAGCGATCGATGTCTTGTATGTCAATACCTTCAATATTTATATCTTGCACTGCAATGTCTTCAAAAAAAATCAGATGGATAAAATTGATGACTGCAGTAATATGATGATTCGAAAAATAGCTCTTTTGTCAATGTCTTCAATATTTATATCTTGTACTGAAATGTTTTCAAAAAATTTCAGATGGACAAAACTCGATGATTGTAGTAATATGATGATTCGAAAAATAGCTCTTATTGATTTTTTTAGAAGTCTCATACATATCAGAGTATTATTTTGAGGGAAAATGTCTTTTAGGTTATAGACATTCATTACACAAAAAATATGTTTCGTTAAAATCTTATTAGGAAAAACTTCGTGACAAAAATCCTAATGAAGGAAAAAAAAAGTATATTTTTTTCTTTTGAATACGTCACAAAAGTGCCTTATTAAAAATCTTGTTAGAAAAATCCAATGGGACAAAATCTCGGTCAAGGAAAAAATAGTACAATGCATGTTTACTCTCCTTCATGATAATAATACTTGAACTATATGTTTTGAGCATATTAAATCTTTCAACGTAACATTAATAGTTATGTTAGATAAGTCGGCTATAATAAAATTTAGAACAATGCTAGAGTTATATCAATTTTGACAGCCCTCTCCCATAAATTTGGTGTGGTCCACGATTAAAATAATCGTGGACCCCACCCATGGGAGATGGCCATCAAAATTGCTGTACAATTTTTCTGTACATTAAGCATTTTTGTAAAATTTATTATATGCATGTCAAATTTCATGCATTGTAAGACTAATAAATGAATGTTGAATGTATTTGAAAAGCTCACACCCGGGCTTCTATTCCCCGTTTCTTGAATATATGCCAATTTACAGCAATTTAATGTTGAATGTATTTGAAAATGTTGATTGAATTTGGTGTCGGTCTCTGATACAATGTGTAAAGGAAGTATTTTGGCCAAGTTCGGCCCTTTACGCTATTGTCTTCTGTTCACAACTTTCCATGCTCAACAATTTCTGAATGGGATGAATTAGGTGTTAAAAGGATTAGTAACCAAATGAATTGGGTTGAAAAAGCAATCTTGGTTGATCCATTGTTTTCAACTACTTCTACTTAGTAGGTTATGCATTGTGGGTCACCTAATTTTCACTGAAATTAAATCACCCAACTTCGATTTGCTCGTATATTTAACTATTTTGTTCATTATTATCTACAAATTATGTTAATTGAACTAACGACAGAAAAATGAATGATGGATTTGTAAGTATATCAGGGAACTTGATCGCACGAAATTAAATATAGATATAATTCAGACGTAGTTTCGTTGTGTTAACATCTCACCATCGGATAATGTATATAAAATTAAAAAAAAATGCCATTGCCAATTATAATTTGTAAAGGTAACATATTTGGTGGGATTAAAATTTTGATAAAAATTTAAGCTAAATTTAACAATGAATTTTAATCATATATTTGATTTACAACTTTTTAATCACGTATTTTATCAATTTTTAAAAAAAGCGTGGGGTATATTAATGGACAACATCAATAATTCACCTCCTCAAATCTTTTTTTGTCTATTTTTCCTAAAAGAGAAAAGGAAAGACGAAAAGGAAAGAAAAGAAAAGAAATTATTTCTAAGGAAGTCCGTGGGTACTTGCGAAGTCGGTTCATTTATATTTTACATTGATTTTGTTCTATCATCAGTTTCTCAGAAATGGTCTGCTCCCATTATCGCATCTCTGTTTCGGCCATGGCCACGCTGTTTATCGTCTTTAAAACGTGTTTTTAAGACAATTTCTTCTCTCTTTTACTATATATAAGTAAGTGATTCCTTCCTGCCCTTTGCATATATTTAAGAATTCCTTTCCTCTTCAAGCAGCTAATCTGTTTCTCTCTTTACTAACTTTTAAAGAACCCATTTCCTCTTCAAGCAGGTAATCGATTTTTCTCTCTACAAGATTCTGCGTATGCAACAAACCATGGTGTTTTTTTTTTCTTTTTTGAAAGTGGGCATTAGATCTATCTATATTGCTTGATTTCTGGTGTTCTTTTTTAAAAAAAGAATACGAAGATCGTCTTCATTGTTTGGTCGGGGAATTAGATATCTTCCAATAAATAAGAATAAGTTAAATTACTCTATAGTCCTATTCGTATTAGATAACAATTACCTTCTTTTAACATATTAATCTTCACAGGTAGTGTTAATCAAGGATTTGTGTTTATGTTATTTGTAGAACCCAATTCACGTTCTTTTTTTTTGGGTAACTTTACCATTTTCTGTTTTAGCTACTATTTATCCCCAGACTGTAGGTCTTTTATGGGAATTTCGATAAAATCAACTAGATTCTAGCTTGGAGTATAGAATGTTAGAATAATTGTATTATGTACGCTTCCATTTGATTGCGAATTTTACGGATCACGTGGGCCGATGTACACCTTACGGACTTTATTATTTATAATGTGATAATTTTAAGTATGTCAGCCGAAATTAAGTAAAACCCTAATTAGGGTTAGAGTCGGTAATGGGCCGACTTTACGATTTTCTATATAATGGCTAGGTTTCCTCTCCTCTTCATATGGTTTTGGCTTGCCCTATTGACGGCTGGTTATTTGTGAGGAGTAAGGAGAGAAAAATCTAGCTGGTAATATTCGTATATAACAATGTCTTCCGCATGTATGAATTTCGAACTATCAATTAACTATGTGATTCTTATTCTTAGCATGATTGTATTAAATAATTAAAACATAGATATCCAAGAGCAGCATTTGTCCTCGTTTGATTGTGCTCAACTTACTTATTTTGCCAAACATTATTTTCCAAGTTAATCTTTTTACTGGCAAAACTTATTTTTGTGGAGATTATGCTAATTTCCTTTTTAGACGAGTGAGTTTGAAGCATTTACCATACATGTAAAGCTTTTTGGAATAGTAACTATTAAATTAGTTTGATAATAGAAATAAGAGTTCTATTCATGAATTAATATGCAATCCGTTATTTCTTCTTTCGTTATTATTATTCAACTTATACTGTTTCTTTATGGTTATTCATCCCATTTTCCTCTATTTCAGGAATCCAGTTATTGCTCAAGTTTTTGGAAAAACAATTCTGTCAAACTTAAATACTACTACTTTGGCATTGCCAACAGGAGAAAAGTGAGAAACACATGTCAAATTTTAACATAAATTCCTCTCCATCTTCCCCATGGCAAATCCGAAGCTCCTTACAGGGTCCCGTTGCCATCCTTTGGGACATCGAGAATTGCCCTGTACCAAGTGACGTGCGTCCGGAGGATGTGGCCGGTAACATTAGGATGGCTTTACGGGTCCATCCTGTAATTGACGGAGCAGTGACAATGTTTTCAGCATATGGAGATTTTAACGCAATTCCAAAGCGACTAAGAGAGGGGTGTCAGAGGACAGGTGTCAAACTCATAGACGTTCCCAATGGGAGGAAGGATGCAGCAGACAAGGCAATCTTGGTCGACATGTTTCTTTTTGCTCTCGACAATCGCCCACCCTCATCAATCCTGTTGATATCAGGAGATGTAGATTTTGCTCCAGCGCTTCATATTCTGGGTCAACGTGGATACACTATTATCCTTGTTATTCCATCTAGGGTCGGAGTCTCGTCGGCTCTGAGTAATGCAGGCAGTTTTCTATGGGACTGGTCTAGTGTGGCTCGTGGGGAAGGGTTCGTGCCCCAGGCTAAGACCTCAATTCCTCGTGTAGATGCTGCAGGGTTTCCCATGGGATGCCCAATCAACGAGTGTATAGACAGTCCAAATGAAGAAGAAGAGGAAGCAATAGTATATAGAGGCGTCTCGAAAAGCTATTGTAGTATATGGGATTGCTCGATAATATCAGAGTCTATATCTGAATGTAATGGTGATTCAATATCTTTACCAAAAAATCCTATGACTTCAAAATCACAAACTTTACCATGTGGTCTGGACGACGTTTCATTAGTGAAGCTGACTTCTAGTGACCCAAATGACAAGACCCGTGTACAGTCGGGAGACCTAAAACAGCTGGGAGATCTAAATGTTTTGAAGGGACAACTCGTAAAGTTACTTGAATTGTCCGGGGGATGTTTATCTCTATTCCGGCTTCCAGGAGAATACAGCAAAATGTACAAGAAGTCTCTTTGTTTGTCTGAATATGGGGCATCGAAGCTTGTAAAACTTCTAAAAAAGATGGATGATTTGATGATTGTTGAGGGAGTAGACAAAGAGAGAGTCGTCTACCTCTGTAACTCAAACTCCAGACCAGATATTCCTTCCTTAATTTTTGCAAAGAAGGATACTGAAGAGAAAGGAGCTTCAGAGGATAACCTAGACGTTATGGCAGGCTCTGGAGCTTCAGGGGAATTTCCCCACAGTGAAAGGTTGGTTGTAGAGGAACGTGGAGATGATATGAGGAGACTCAAACTTGAGCAAGATCTTTGTCAGATGATTTTTGGTGATATACCAGCAAAGATATAAAAAACCGCTGGATTATCCGAGCTAAGGTTTGGCAAAGGTGAGAGCTGATCATACACTCTCTTGGCTAGGCATAATTAAGGAAGAAAAATAAATTAAAATTGTAGTCCTTTACCTGGAGAGAAACATGCCAACAAAGGAGTCATGCCTCAGGTATGCTCATTGTTACCTTGTTCATCCTCGTACCCATATTATTGAAACTTTGTACAGGTGTGACCTGGAAAGGTTTGTCTCTGTTATTAACCTTCTCGTCCAACTCAATCGTGCATGTTCACCTTAGAATGATCAACAATGCAATATTATGTTAGCGTCGCTCGATCTTATTGACCGACGAGGGGAGATATTTCTGTAAATTGACTTGCATTCATAATGATGATTTAATTGATACAAATTACTCTCTTTTTTTCTAAATTGGCTTTTATCTTAACTATGATTCCAGTATCTCTTCTATTGATACAAGAAGCATACACCAGGCTTGTATTGAATTTTATGTTTATTCCACTGAACATTGTTAAACGGATCCCCATGTTGAGGCCCAGATGTATATGTAACTATCCACGAATGCGGGTTTGGTCTTGTCCGACCGAAATATTTGGGCCGCTGTCCAGTCTACAATGGCTGAGCCCACATGGACCAACTATATTTTTGATAAAATTTTGAGAATCTCAAAGAGGAAATATGTTATATTTATGGGAGGCTCGCTCTCAATTGTATCGTTAATAGAGGTGTAAAGTGGGTTGGACAGTCTTAAACTGATATCTTTGTGTTCATATTTGGTCGGACAGCTTCTTGAGCCACTTTCTAAGTTTTCTATAGGAAATAAAAATATTTTTAATAACGATAAGCTCCTAAATAGTACACTTTCTTCAAAAACTTATTTTTGTCCAAACTCGTTTTTAGCCAATCATTTTATCAACAAAATTTTTTTGTATAGGAATTTATAAATTATTTATTTTTTTTACTTTTTAATCCTGTATTCTTTAAAAACATTATTTTTCAAAAATAAATTCTCAAAAAAATTACATTAAATAGACCCTAAATTGGAGCAGGTATATTTTTTTTAATTATTATGGTGAATAAGAATAATACTTTAGGAATGACCATTGACTATTATTTAATTTTTTTATTTAAATGTCTAAAAAACGTTTTCTTATAGATATATGTAAAATTATCACTTGCTATTAATCAAGTGAACGACATGTATATTTTTCAAACTGATCTATAATAATCATTGGAACTGATTAAATATAATTTATTCTATTATGAACATCGCATCTACTATTATATACGTCATGTCTCCATTTTCTTAATCGACTTATCTTAATTAAAGATCATGAAGGGATGTAAACGAGCCAAGCTAGTTTTGGGTAAAATCGGATCGAGCTTTTTTTTGGCTTGAACCGAGTTGACCCATAGCTTGGCTGAAAAAATGGGACTTGGCTCGGGTCTTTCCTAGCAGAGCTGGGTCCTTTTGTTTGTTTTTTTTCCCTGAAATTCCTTTTTTTTTTTTTTTGGAGCCAGAAGCTAAAAGGAAGCTACGGGTAGCTGCCTTATTTCCGAGACACAGACCAAAAGGGCCGTGTTGGTGTGGCAACACGGGCTAGTTTGAGCTCGGGCCAACACTCGACATGAGCTTCGGCTGGGTTCCAACGAGCCGCGAACCAAGCTGGCTCGGACTTTTTTCAGACCGAGTCGTGGGTCACTCCAGCCAATGAGTCATATTGACATTTCTAAGATTATGGTGAGATTTAAGTTTAGTTTTCACATTGCACTTTTAAAATCTTCTTAATTTTGTCTAATTTATTGAGTCTAATCAGGCAGACGTGCCATAATGGCTTGGCCATAGTGCTGAATGTGAAGAATTTAAGTGATTCAATTTCAAAAGTAACCTCAATCCCCCTTTTGAATCAAAAATAGTTACTTGAAAGGATTGCCAACCTTTTTTTCCTTGAGAAACAAACAAGACCACATCATCCATGCCACATTGCAAAATTTTCTTGTTTATTGAAATTTTAACTTTCGGGACAAGTTTAATGGAGAAAAGTTTTCTTATTTTATACCTTGCTCGATCCAAAATTATCCCTTTTTTCCTTTTTTAAAAAATATCTTAATATTTTTCTTAATAAATAAAGTAAGTTGAAAAAAACTTTAGTTCTAAAATAGGTCGAGGTGATGAAAATGTGTAGTAATAACAACTAGAGTGGGACCAAGGATTGAACATGCTACCCAATTAGAAGCTCCCCACATAACATTTCCACTCATTTCAAATCATCAATTATATTCACGAAAAAAATATTTTTTCTATCACAAAAAACGTAGTCACGATCAATACTATCGATCAAGACTGAATTTATTACAGCGAATTATGACCTGTTTTATCCATCGTCACTCGCAGCACAAACCTCCGTGGATGCTAAAGTTTGAATTTATACGTATATTTATTTCTAACACCAAAATATCAAATCTAGGAAGAAAAATACTCGAGGTAAATTGATGTGTCTTAAGACAATGACTATGCAAAATATCTAGACTTCTTCGAACTCACTCACAATTTTCAAATCTTGAAACTTTTTCATTCAAAATACAAGTGTTACACGTTTAAGACTTTAGGGTAGAGTTGACTTGACAGAATCAAATTTGTTCACAAAATACACGTGGAAAATAATTTTGTCAACTGCCATATTGTAAATAATGCATTTGGTAAGTATAACTACCCACTCAATAAAAAAAATTAGAAAGTAGAGAAAATGTCAAGAGTAATGTTATTCGTAGTAAAGACTATCAGTAGTCGTCATACGTGACAAATACATAGCAGTTTGTTAATTAATGTAGTAGTTTCTAATTGTTTCATCCATCAAATGATATACTGTAATGTATGTCAAATATGACAACTATCGATATTATTCATCATGAATAACATTATTAAAAAGTGCCGGAGAAGACAGTTGCCAAATAATTCCATGTTTTATTTATTAAAATAGACAGTAGGTTGAACCCCGTGTCTGAAACTCTGTTTGCCTTCTACTCAGAAAGCTTATACCAATAGAAGCGACCACCCGTTTAATTGCTTCAGCCTGGGGATTAATAAGCTTCGCATGTACGTACGTGTGTGTATATATATACTTATTCTCTTCTCTCCAGTTTCTATCATTTGCAAGTATTGATTCCAAATACACACAAGATATATATAATTATGTAGAATACGGATTCTTCTGTAAAGTCTTGATTACGATTATTCTGTTTTGTAGAGAATTGAACTGGACGATGAATTTCTACATTTCTGCTCTGTTTTTGCTGCTTCTCTTTGGCTACTCCACAGCTCGGCAGGTTTTATTCAACTTCAAATTCAATTATTTGATCGTAGAATTTAAATACATGTATAATCATATAGATCTCAAATTTTATCTCTGTTGCAGCAAGGAGAAACTTGTGTTTCGAACAGCAACTGCGATTCCGGGCTGCATTGCGAGACCTGCGTCGCCAATGGCAATGTTCGACCGCGCTGCACTCGAATTCAACCTCTAAATCCTTTCTCCAAGGTTCGCCACTAAATTTCAATATATACGTATAGATTCAAAAAAAAAAAAAACTCTGCATATTTTTTTCTATTTTCATCTTTTTGAAGACGAAATTTTGATTTTTCTTTTTATTGAATTTAGGTGAAAGGGTTGCCGTTCAATCGGTACACGTGGTTAACAACGCACAATTCGTTTGCTAGATTGGGGGCAAGGTCTGCAAATGGAGGATTGGTTTTAACTACCAGGAATCAGCAAGACACCATCACCGATCAGCTCAATGTAATGATTTTTTCTTTCTTTCTCTATCTATACATACATCGTACATTTATTTATATGTATACACATTTTTTTTTTCAATTAAAATTTAAATATTTGCTATTATACACCATAGCAGGGTGTCTTTGAGGTGGTTGGTGGTGTCTTGGCTGGCGTTTTTGTTCTCATTGCTTGCTTTCTCACATGACGAATGAATGTTTGTTAAAATACTTGATTTCTTTAATATATCTTGACTTCAAAGAACAACAAAACATTGTTTATTGTGAAAGAGGGAGTGCCCTTAGGCACATTGATAATATTATAGTGGACATTAATAATCCATAGAATTATGGTGGATTAAGGTGCTTAATTTTTTATTGTTTTTCAAAAGATAGTCATCTACGCTCTAGACCATCGAACATAAAATGGAGGTTGAAGGTGGGTTTGGACCGAATAGAGAAGATATAGTAAATGACATTCATTTGAATTATAAGATTTAAATATTTGCTATTATACTATATATTCGATAATTTTCATTATATATATTACTAATTTTTTAAACATCCTATTTTCGTTTGTGCCAAATATGACCTTAAAGCATTACTTAATCATGGAAGGACTATTTTAACCCCTGTTTGGTGAGGATTAAAATTATGTTTTTAGTAAATTTTGATAAAAGTTGATGAAATGTGCAGTTGAAAAGTTGTGGGTCCCATGAAATATGATTAAAATTAATTATTGACTTAAACTAAAATTTAGATTTTAATTCCTACAAACGGTGTTAGTGTTATCGAGTGGTGGTATCAATTGGACTGAACTGGCAAGCTCGGCTGTAGAGCGGCCTGGAATGGCCTGTGTATGGGCTTGCATTGCCCAGGTTTTGTAGTGGTCCGGGCCAAGCTTGGCGTGCCATGTTTCACCGTGATTCTTTTAGCTAGGCCTACTTCGACAACATTGCCTTCCGCCCACAAAAGCTGCAGTATTATAATGGTTATGACTGGCAGCATAATCAGGCTCCATTTTATTTTTTTCTTTCAGCACTTGCCAGAATTAGCTAGGTGTGATATTTTTTCCCTGGGACCTCAGATTTCAGTTACTTAGCAATGGCTTGGTTTTTTCGGGTGGGTTTAACCTTTAGAGCAACTGACCCGTTAAGAATGATAGCCTTGCTTAATTTGTTATTCTGTACTTCATGCAAATATAGGTTCATCTGATTTCGTGAAGTTGCTGCAAATTTGGAAATAAACCTTTTATCGATGTCAAGCAACACACTCCTCTACAAGTCAATTAAATTCTCTTAGCTTCTAACATTTCCTACACTCCGGCTTGATTTTTAGTCAGAATTATTAGTATGTCTCTTATCACAGACGAGGCCACTAATTCCTAAAGATTGTGTTAGTCAACCAGACTGAGGTAACTCACATGGAAAATGGTGTGAACAAAATTGACAAACTCAAACGGTTTAAATCATAAATAGATACAAATGAGTGGACAGTACTTGTGATATCACGCGTGGATAACTGAGTATAAACTGTTTACTAACATTAGCCAAATATTAGAGTTTGAACCGAGTATTACAAAAGTGATCATATTCTTCCATCTACAACATTTTTTACCAAAATTATTGAATACTCTAATGATCTCTATGGACCATTTTTTCTGCTGCAGGATGGTGTTAGAGGGTTGATGCTTGATATGTACGACTTCAATAATGATATCTGGTTATGCCACTCATTTGGTGGCAATTGCTACAACTACACGGCCTTCGTAAGTTGTTGAGGATTCATTAGACATCACATTTAATTGAATTGTTCTATTCTAAATTTACTGTTTATTTGTTTGAATTTAGTTACTGTCTATCAAGGCATATACAGCTTTCAGATTTGGTGTAGATGCTTTGCTGATAATGTTGAACAATTTCATTTAAATGCTCAAATCATTACAAAATGAACACATTTATGTATTTAAATTGTGTTCATCTCACCTTCTCCTGTACAAGATGGATTCTTTTTCCATAAATGCCTAGCATGTGCACAATGAGTATAAATGGGCGACAATGAAATTTCAACGAAGTACCTCTGCCTAATCTGATACGTTGACTGCCTCATCTGAATTTTAAGTTATTAGAAAACGCATCTTTTATTTGAATTTTGTATTAAAAGAATATTAGGTTGATATATAATAATATAATAAATTGAATTTGAAGATAGAAGCTAGAATTAAGCTGATCTCTAGTGCTAACTGCTTGTCCTTTTCTGATGCTAATGGACTAAATTCTGATTAGCAGACACAAGCCACAAATGTTTTGCAAGAGGTTCGAGTTTTTCTCGAAGCAAACCCTGCTGAAATCATCACCATTATCATTGAAGATTACGTTAGATCTCCTAATGGATTGACAAGGGCTTTCAATGCCTCTGGCCTGATGAAATTCTGGTTTCCAGTGTCAAGGATGCCTAGAAATGGCCAAGATTGGCCAACGGTTGATGACATGGTTCAGAAGAATCAGCGTTTAGTAGTCTTCACTTCTAGAGCTTCCAAGGAATCTTCTGAACGCATTGCTTATCAATGGAGATACATGGTGGAAAATCAATGTGAGCCTTCTCAAAACTAGCTAAGATATATCGTTTCATCCCTTCTAATCTCTTATTCATCATGAAATTACCAAGTTAATTTCGTCGCTAATAACTAGTCATTATACATGTAAATAACATTTCCTATGATAGCTACAAAATTGAAATAAATTTCTGAAAATCTGCAAAGAGATAGCTCATTTGTCTCTCGAGAAGCCAAAGCTAAAACTTCTTAAATATGATGCAGAATGGATTTTGTCTTGAAAAAAAGAACTTCCTATGTTAATTGGTCCAGTCTTGATTCGCGTTGTGCTAAGATAAATCTTGGCGGATACATTGAATACTAATTATCAACCAGTAAAAAATAACTTGGTTAACTTGCAGATGGTGATGGTGGAATGAGAGTTGGATTGTGTCCAAATCGTTCAGAATCACCCGCAATGAATGTAACCACACGATCACTGGTCCTGATGAATTATTTTCCAGATACTCCAAGTTTAACCCAATCTTGCAGATACAATTCAGCCCCATTAATTAGCATGATGAACACGTGTTATGAAGCAGCCGGTAAAAGGTGGCCTAACTTCATTGCTGTTGATTATTACAGGGTATTTTTGTTATTTAAGAAAGTCCTATGCAGACAAACTCATCCCACACCTGACACGTCCAATCTTTTTTAGTATGAACTTATATTTTGTGTACTTCAATCTTGCAGCGAAGCGACGGAGGAGGTGCACCTCAAGCAGTAGATACGGCTAATGGCCAACTAGTTTGTGGTTGTGCAAACATAGCCTCTTGCAAGGTAAATTTTTGCAATACGAGGCATTATTTCATACCTAGTAGCACTGGCTCTAAAGTCTATTAGACAAATATATTCATTTTCATTAAGGTAGTATTCTATGTTTACAATAATTCTACCATATGAACACTTTGACAAGTTGGAGACATTACAGGTAGGAGAATCCATAATTTATTAATGTGAACAATATCATGTGCAGGAAAATATGACTTTTGGAGCATGTAAACTGGCTGAGGATATAGCTCCAAGTGGAGCATTCAATAATCAAACTAGCTTTGGACAATTCGATAGCAGACCCATTCGATTTCAGTGGCTGTTTATTGTATTTTTAATGGCCGGAATGACATTGTAAATTGTAATACAGAACATTTTATATTTTCAAACGAAAAATAATAGCGATAGAAATGTAAACAATTTATGACGGAAATAGTCCCCATTAAAAGAGAATTCTCTTGATTGATACATAACATACGTGTAAGGGGCGGAGCCAAAAATCAAAGGTACGGGGGCAACATTTTTTAAAATTTAATGTATAAATAAAATTTATATATAACAAGAAAAATTGTAATATAATATTACATATTACAGTTGTACCAGATGATGTTTTATAGCATAAAATTTATCTAGAATAAAATCTAAATCTAAATTCATACTAAGTTACGCATATACAAGTAGAATACCATATCACTATTTTATTTTATTTTTCACTCAAAAGATTTAAGAACTTCAAAACCATAACCGTGATATGTTGAAACAACTGTCAATCAAAACTCATGGTCATATATCATCTGTAGAGAAAAATTTGTCCAAAATATTTGTAAAGATAATATTAAAACTCCTCTATTTGTAGATAACGAAAACAATTGGACATCAATCAGAAATTAGAGAAAGACCTTTGCCAGCAGTTCTCAATGATAGAAGCCCGTTGTGGATCAATATCCTTCGGGAATCTCTCATTGTGGGTTCAGCTTCAATTACCTAGATAATTAAAATATGCTGGTCAAATGTGATTACACAAATCTTAATAACAAATTTAGGAAAATTATAGCAAAAACTGATCTTGAATTGAATAAATGGAGAGAGAGAGAGAGAGAGAGAGAGAGAGAGAGAGGGCTAGATGATGGCTGATTGTGAAACGAAGCCGTCTATTATCGACCAAAATCATGAAAATCACATGAAATTGATAGAGATAAACCACAAATTTAGGTTTTGGTTGGTGCTGAACACTGTCCCTTTTTTTCCTCATCGTAAAATATACTGTTTTTTAATGTATAATGAAAATTTAAAAAGTCAAAAGTGTAGTAATCAATTTTCTAAGTAAATGAAAGTACTGGGCATAATTTGCTCTATTTTTAATGCATCTAGGCTTGGACTACACTGGGTTGTAGGCATGTGTAGCTTACCACTGGATCCATCCATGCATTGTGTACACTTACCGATCTTATATAAATTTCAAGATATTTCATTGTATGGAATGATGAATATAATTTGAATAATTCATCTATTTAAGATGGAAACGTGATGAAGATGGCTAATTTTATTTTCCTGTTTAAAATTTGTTATCCTAATTACTAACTTTATCTTATTAGTTCATGTGCCTTTTAATATTTATTAGAAGTTGAGGGACCAACATTGCAATTGTTATTAAAGCGTCAACTAGGTTTGCTTTCACTTAGTTCAATCTCATTTTTTTATCTTAGCAAACTCTCTTTCAAAGTGGCCCATGATCGGTTAGTCTCTTCCACACTTTCTTTTTAGCGTTCTTTTTAGGACTACTTTTATTATTCATTTTTTTTCCTTTTTTGCCTTTTGTTCGAAGCAATTGATTAATGAAAGTATGGGGTTATGGCAATTAAAAGAGGATGAGTCTCATTAATCGATCATATTACAAATATTTTGTGTTACAAATAACATCATAGGTCATAGTCACAAGTTTCAAAGGGAATGTCAACTTTCCAAATTCACATATCCTTGATTGGATTCTTCAATTATTCATGCAACATAAAACGATAGATTGTCAAAGTTTTGTGACTGATAGGCAAAATCACATAATCTTATATGTCACACTTAATTAATGTATCATATCACAATCTTACAATCTTATATACACGCTAAATTTATGCATTCAAAAAAATCACATTCGTGCCAGATAGTAGGATTTCGATATCGAAAAATCCCTTAATGTTGTTCGTACAAGAAAATTATGAGTATATGATTGGGAAAAATTACTCTAAAACACTCTTGGAACTGTCGCTGAAAACAATATTCTATAAATGAATGTTCAGAAATTTGCTTAACCAATAAAATTGCTGAAGATACCATGAGTGTAAGAAGGTAAAAAGAGAAAAGAAGTTGTTGAAATTGTGGTCAAATTCAAAACCGTAGGAAGTAAGTTTTCTTTTTACTTTCTTCGAAGGGAAGCGATTGATTGTTAGAAAATAGCTAATTGACTTTAGTTTGAAAAGTTATCAGGTGAGAGAGTATATTTTCAATCTAGGTCATGATAGTTTTTAATAGAAATCCATATATATATATATATACCCCATTTGAGCCATATTTTTATTGTAAAAATACATTTTGAAATAGTAAATTGATGAAAAATGTGTGATCCAAAAATAAGGAAATTTTTTAGGTTTACATGTAATAATAATGAGAATCAAACAAGTTTATAACTTTTTAAAAAATCCTAAATCTGATTTTTAATTTATATATATACAAAAATCAATTTTAAGTTGAAAATTGGTGGGTCACGTGAGCTACCAGGACTCACTGCTGCAACTGAGTATATTTTTTTCTCTTGCCCCTAATGAAGCCTTCTAATTTTAAATCAGGCCACAATTTTCAAGGAAACAATTTCTAGTCACGTTCTTAAATTATTTATGCAAATTTAAAATTATAGATTGTATTATTAATGGCATTTAAAGACATCTTATAAGTCACAATTGCACGTCACATGCACATACTGTATTACACGTATTTTAGGTTACAAACATAACATCGTAGGTCACAATCACATAACGTAGTAACTCGCCTTATTGATTTTTGAAGGGAATACCAACTTTCTAAATTCACATGTGACATATCTTTGATCATATTCTTCAATTTTATATGCAGTATAAACCATAGAGTGTCACAATTTTGTGACTGGTAGACACAATCACACTTAATGATAGCCATCAGATCACAATCTTACAATCTTATAGGGCACACTAAATTTATGCACTTAAAAAAATATAGTGGAAATTTCAAAAAATGTCCACTTTTTCACTATATTCAAAAATGTCCAAAATTTTCTACGTCTATTTTATTTAAATAGAGACCAAAATGCCCTTAATGAAATTTCAAATTCCACCGTCACTAGCATATGACCTTGCCCATCAACAAAAAAAAAATCTTTCAGAACTCGTCAAAAGGAGAAACTGATGCAGGAGGGTCCGAGTCAGATGCTGAGTTGTCAGATAACACGTTAATGGCTCTAAGGTTTCACGAGTTGACAGATCAAGGCAAGGATGGCAAGTGATCAAGTAACTTTGGCAATTAAGTCGTGTTTCGGTAATTTGGCCATAACTTTGGCTACGGTTATCAGAATCGCGATCATGACCACAATCCGGAAAGCTCGTTTCGGCGCGCACGTCGTGGCCACCCAGCTATGCTCGGTGTGTGCCGTTTTCATCCTCAAATTCA